TCCGCCTCTTCCTTGCTTGCTGTGGCACCTTTTTCACAGACATTTCCAACCTCTTCTATCGCCTTTCCAGTCATTCCGTCCCCCACCGTCGGCCTCGTCGCTGCCAATTCCCTCTTGTCCCTGCCCATTTACATCCAATCGGCTGATTCCTCCTCTTCATCTTCTTCCTCTTCCTCCTCTTCATTCTCCTTCTCCTCCTCCCCCTCCTCTTCCTCCTCTTCCTCTTCCTCTTCCTCTTCCTCTTCCTCCTCTTCCTCTTCCTCTTCCTCCTTCTCATCCCACACTTCCACGTCGTCTCTTTCGCCGGACCCTTCTCTGACGACGTCTCTCTCCGGTTTCCCGTTCGCCTCGTCCGAACGCGCCCTCACCGATCCGGCCAGCCCCAGCCCCAGCCCCATTCTCAGTCTCAGACAGACCGGATTCGTCGGTCTGCCAGACCTGCACGACGCCGTCCAGCCGGTGGCGCCATTTTTGGCCAAGACAATAGACGCTCTGGAGCAGATGAATGCCAGAGCGGTGATGGTGACCGGGGCGCCGCCGAATGCGAGTCAAGAAGAGCTCGCCTCTCTTTTTGCCTCAATCAGCCATCTTCTTATGGTAAACCGTTGTCACAAATCAAAATCACATACAAAAGTTACTGGGTTTCGTCGAATCTGCTGAGATGACCCGAAAAGTGTGTGTCGTAAAATGGTTTATGGGTTCATCTCATCCGAACACGACGGCCTGTTTGCGTTGTACTGTCGCTCTGTTTGACGTCGACACGAACGTCAGGTTGTCGCAGTTCACGAGACACCCTCGTTTCGGATGGTAATGGTTTCAGCCTCCTTCCATCGAATGACCGACATCATCAGAGCTGCAACTCTTTCTTGTCGAGTGTTAGGTTAGCAACCACTCGGTCAAGAATGCACAAGATGTGTCCACTCTATTTGAGATTTAGGCGAGTCAAGGAATGCCAGTTCATTTTGGGAAGAAATGCAAATGGGGACAAATTCCACTTCACCATCTTCACCTTAAACGAACTGACGTGACTACTTCTACTCTATCTGATCGACTTGCCTATAAACGAAGGCTGGCTATATTTTGCGTCTTATACATATTCTTTACTAAACACAAAAGATAAATACATAATTGCTAGGCTATTTCTCTTTCATATTGGTCATGATAAACTGATGTAAGTGTGTGCGTATGCGTTTCTGCGTGTTGACAACTGTAGGCAAGACCGGTTGTAAATCAGAATGATAAATAATGTTTAATTGAAGATATGAAGAGCAAGATATTGTGGCCTCGGGTATGGTCGCAGTCTCCTTTCGATGTATAGAAGTGGGTTGACCTTGTTGTCGCACCTTGGTCTTGTTGTCAGGGCGACTATGTAGAACGCTACGAACTCGTCAAAGAGACAAAGCTCACTGATGATGTCGACTACGATGCCGGCGAAACGTTTGAGAATGTATCAAGTCCCCTGTCTGATGCTGGGAATCTTGACAACTACTATGGAGACGACTTCGGACTAGGTGAGTTCTACATAGTCCCCCTATTAACAAGATTATAGATTAAACATTAAAGAATAAAGATCTTATATTGAAGATTACAGATTTAAGTATGTTCTTTCAAGATTTATTATTAAAGAAGTGGGTTTACCTCGTTGTCGTAACTTGGTCTTGTTGTCAGGGGGACTATGTAGAACGCACCTAGTCAGAAGTCGTCTGCCAAAGTAGTTGTCAGGATTCCCAGCATCAGACAGTCGACTTGGTACATTCTCAGCCGTTTCACCGGCATCGTTCTACATAGTCACCCTGACAACAAGACCAAGTTGCGACAACGAGGTGAACCCACTTCGATAATGTTTAATGTCCGGATCAAGCCATTAAAGTTGATTGACCCAATACGAGACCCCGAAGGGGACTAAGCAGGTCCGTAAGCAAATCCGACTGAGATGATGAGTGAGTTTCAGCTCTGATGATGTCGGTCAAGTGGCATGACGAAGGAAAGCTGGCTCCGCTTTCACCCGAAGCGTAGAACTGGAAGGTGATATTAAACGTAAACGGCTGCAGTACAACACA